AATAAGGCAAGAAAAAGAAATAAAGGGCATCCAAATTGGTAATGAAGAAGTTAAACTGTCCCTGTTTACAGATGATATGATACTATACTTAGAAAACCCTAACGACTCCATGAGAAATCTACTGGAACTAATAGAAAGATTCAGCAGAGTAGGAGGATACAAGATAAACATTCAAAAATCAGTTGGATTCCTATACACCAGTAAGGACAACAATGAAAAGGTTACAGAGGAGGGGAAGGATGAGGAGGGAGGGGAAACCACTAACTAGTTACTAGACAAGTGTTAACTTTGGTGAAGGGAAAGACAATACACAATATAGGGGAAGTCAGCACAACTTGACCAAGGTAAAGGAAAACACTTAGAGGAACATAAGAAGAAAAAAAACAAGCATCCACAGTAAACACTGTAGCATGTACAACCCTACTTGTTAAAACCAAACCCGTTGCCACTGAATCAATTCCAACAACCGTACAACAACAGTAAAAACAAATAATAACTTACAAGCAGATGCACAGGCAGATATGTATGCTGCATCGGGGAAGGAGGGCGTATAGGCGTATACCCACGTATATACATAGGTTAGGCTGTGGATATTTTTACATACACATTTTTATGTACAGCATGCATATTCACATATATAATAGAGCATGAAGGGGGCACAGTCATAGACGTTTCCTAGAAACATCCAAACACCTTGAGGGACTGAGTTACTGGGGCTGAAGTCTGGGGACCATGGTCTTGGGGGACATCTAGGTCAGTTGGCATAACATAGTTCAGAAAGAAAATAGTTCTACATTCTACCTTTGTGAGTAGTGCTTGGGGTCTTAAAAGCTGGTGAGCAGCCATCTAAGATATATCTATTGGTCCCATTCTGTCTGGAGCAAAGGAGAATAAAGAAAACCGAAGACACAAGGGAAATATGAACCACAGACTCCACCAGCCTGAGCCTAGAAGAACTAGATGGTGCCCAGCTATTGCTACCAGCCACTCTGACAGGGATCACAATAGAGGGTCCTGGATAGAGTGAGAGAAAAATGTAGAACAAAATTCAAATTCACAAAAAAGACCAAACTTAACTGGTCTGACAGAGACTAGAGAAACCCCTGATACTCTTGCCTCCGGACACACTACTAACTCAGAACTGAAGCTACTCCTGAAGTCCACTTTCCAGCCAAAGATTAGACCGGCCTGTAAAGTAAACAATAACACACGTGAGGAACATGCTTCTTAGATCAATCAAGTATACGAGACCAAATGGGCAACACCTGCCCAAAAGCAAAGACGAGAAGGCAGAAACGGACAGGAGAACTGGACGAATGGAAAGGGGAGAGACGAATGATGGAATAGGGGAAAGTGCTGACACATTGCAGGGATTGCAACCAATGTCATGAAACAATTTCTGTATAAATTTTTTAATGAGAAATTAATTTGCTCTGTAAACTTTCACCTAAAGCACAATAAAACAAAATAAATAATCTGATCATATGCCCTTGCTTCAGAAGTTCTGCTGCCCATTACCTATGGCACAAAGACAGACTTCATTTGTTTTTTTAAATAATACTTTATTGTGTTTTCAGTGAAAGTTTACACAGCAAATTAGGTTTCCACTTGGCAATTTCTGCAGAAACTGTTCAGTGACATTGGTTACATTTTTCACAATATGTCAGCATTCTCTTTAATTGCATTCTGGTTGTTCTGTTTCCAGTGCTCTAGTTTCCCTGTCCCCTTACCTTCTCATCTTTGTTGTAGAGTAATTGCTGACCTTTTGGTCTCATAGCGATTTTTTAATGGAGTACCGTGCTCATGGGTAATATCCTTTATTTTGTGTGGCAATCTCTTATTTTGCCAAAAGGTGACCTCAGGGCACAGTTTTGGTTAAAGGTTTAAAGAGTATCTCAGGGCGATAGTCTCAAGGAGTCCTCTAGTCTCAACTGGTCCAGTAAGTCTGGACTTTTTAAGAATTTGAGCTCTGTTCAACGTTTTTCTCTCATTCTATCAGGGTCCTTCTCTTGTGGCCCTGATCAGAATGGTTGGTAATGGTAGCCAAGCACCATCTAGTTCTGGTCTCAGGGTAGATGAGGCGTGGCTTGTGTAGGCTATTAGCCCTATAGACTAATTTCTTCTGAGACTTTGGTTTCCTTCTTTCTCTTTTGTTCCTGGTGAGTAGAGACCAATAGTTGTATCATAGGTGGCTGCTGGCAAGCTTTTAAGACCCCATATGCTACTCACCTCACTAGGATGTAAAACATGAACTTTGTGAGCTATATTATGCCAATTGACTTGTCCCATGAGACTAAGTTGTCTCATGAGACTAATGTCCTAAGCCTTCAAACCCAGATAACCAATCTCGAAAGGTGTTTGGTTATATCTGAGATGGATCTGTAACTGGATCTTCTATGAATATATGCATGCGCACACGTATCTGTATGTACACATACATATAGATACTTCTGTCTATTCACATATATGTACACACCTGTACCTACCCATACACATATATGCCTATACACCTACATATGTGACCATACTCTCGTTTTTGGTTATTGTTGGTGTTGTTGCCAAATTATAATTATGTCATATTTTTTAGCGCAAACATCCTTTTCTTTTTTGTGCTTCTTAGTGCCATCATTTACTTTGGTCAAGCTGTGCTCATTACACCCACATTCAGTGCTACTTTTCCCATCACCAAAAATAACAAGCATCTATGATCTAGAGAGTGATTATAACCACCACTACCACCACCCCCGCCCCTAGTCCCTGAACCACCAATGAACACTAGTCTCTGTATATATATACATCTGTTCTTTTCTTCTTATAAAAGTGAGATCATACAATATTTGTCCTTAGGTGACTGACTGATTTCACTTAGCATTATGTCCTACAGATCCATCCACGTTATGTTTTGTGAACTCATCGTTGTTCTTTATGGTTGTGTAGTATTCCATTGTATGTATGTACCACATTTTGCTGATCCATTCATCCACTGAAGGGCACTTAGGCTGTTTCCATTTTTTTGCTGTTGTGAATAATGCGGCAGTGAACATAGGTGTACATAAGACAGATTTCCTTTAAAAGGCATTCAAGGCTCTCTCTGATCTGGCCTCAGCCTAATCTCCACCCTCCCCTCTTGTCAGGGCCCCACCAATGCTGTACAGCTTCCATTCCAGACTACCCACAGTTCCCCAAAGCAAGGCCCTTTCCCTGCAATGTCTTTGCACAGTGTCTTTGCATGTACTTTTTTCTTCAACCCTAAATACATTTTCCACTGTTTCCATCTGAAGAACTTCTGTTCTTTTAAGATCTAAACATCTCCTCCTTTGTTAACCTTTTTCTTCCCACTGTAAAAAAGTGGATCATTTTTTGTGCCATCACAAACCCTCACAGACACCTGAGAAAGTTTACTACCCATCAGATGAGAAAAGCGAAGCTCATTCAGCTTAAATTCAGGGCACATGGTTAATTATACTGGGCCTTGAACCACTAGGCAGCCAACCATTGCTGGAGAAATCATGAAGAACGATAGATTGATGTCTCCATAAAACTGTAGAGGGCCACCTTTAGTTAAGCCCTTCTCAGACCTATTCAAGCTGAGTTCATTACTTTGTGCCACTGCTCTTTCTCCTACTAGACTGGGAGCTTCATGCGAACAGGATTATTTTTATTTTCTACCTTTAGCATTTCTTGTATTGAAACATAATTGGCACTCAAGAAATGTTTGTTGAATGAACAATCTGGAAAATGAATAATGCGGACCTACTGGTTGGTTCCTCTCCTCCTTCCTTCTGCAGTAGACTTGCATTAAGTCTCATGTCTTCTCTAAATCTGCTCTGTGTTCTTCCCACTTGTACTTGGCCCCTAGAACTTCGGATCAAGAGACAGAACTCCTCAGACAGCATCTCTAGCCTCAACAGCATCACCAGCCATTCCAGCATTGGCAGCGGCAAGGATGCTGATGCAAAGAAGAAGAAAAAAAAGAGTTGGGTAGGTAAAAGTTTAGAGGGAGGAACCATCTAGAACCAAGGTGGACTACCTCTACCTTAGCATAGGTACTGGCTCCATCCAGGATTAACCAAGATATATTCCCTTCTACTAAACCAAAAACGAAACCTGTTGCCATTGGGTTGACTCCGACTCATAGCAACCCTATAGGACAGAGTAGAACTGCCCCATAGGGTTTCCAAGGAGCAGCTGGTGGATTTGAACTGCTGACCTTTTGGTTAAAACAGCCTGAGCTCTTAACCACTGTGCCACCAGGGCTCCTCCCTTCTACTAGTGGGCCCTAATTTGATGTCTGCTAAGAGCAAGGTCTGCTAAATTCTCCCTTTCCCCTTCATTCCCTACTTGTTCCCAGTCCATCCCTCTAACCTTTATACACATCTTGGACTCTCCATACTGATAAGGTCAAATGTATTTGGCAACAGAAGGAAACTAAGGAAATCTCCAGAAGGGAACTAAGGAAATCTCCAGAAGGGAAAGTCCTATCAGTCCCCTTCCCAACTCTCCCCACTCCCTTCTATACTATGAAGAGAAGATTTTATGAACAAAGGGTTCATATTTAGAATAAAATCTATTCATTCTAGATGCTCCTGAAGATGATTTCTTCAGTTTTTGGAGAGGTATTTGTGGAGTGCTCCAGATTACTTCAGAAAGACTCTTCCTTCATATTAACTTTGGCTTGTCCAGAGATAGTTCTTTTTTTTCCCCCCCGGATAACCCTAAACTGACTTTGGATGACCTTTCTGACATTATTTAGGCAGTTCTGAAACACTCAGCTCATCTTGCTGCCTTTGGTAAGGAGAGGATCCCTAGATGGAGACTTCTTTCTCCTCTGTCCCTTGTTCAGTAAGACTGGCCCACAGACCTTTGCAGAGTGCAGATAGGTAACAGCTGTGTGAAATGAGTGATTAAGTGTTGCTTCTTTCCCCCCCGCCCCCTTCAAAATGCTGACTTCAAATCCCTATTTTTTTTCCAGGTCTATGAGGTAAGAGACCCGGTTCCTCTCCCCTTGTTTTTTCTTTCCCATTGCCATACCTTCCCCATTTCCAGAGCAACTGCCTCACCCTAAAAAAGAGGAATGGCCACTCATAACACTAACTGTAACAACCATCCCAGAGTTCCTAACTCACTCCACTGCATGGTCCATCCATGGCTGCCCCACATGAGGACAGAGGAGTGGTCTGGTTGGGGGCCAAACAGGAAAGTCAAACAAAATCCAAATCTGTTCCCTCCTGTCTTCCCCTTATTACAAATTTGGCCTCTTGTAAAAACAGTCAAATTGAGCTTTTCCTATCCAGAAAATGAGCTTTCTTATTTTTGTTCCCATCACACCTAGAAGCTCAAAACGGAAGAGAATCACGGGATGAACATTATCTTAACCACAGTTTCCAGAGGCTGGTTTGGATTTGGCCTAGCCTGAGGATTTAGCTCTAGAGTAGGAGGAACCAGAGATAGGTAAGGGACATGGTTCAGTCTGTATCATCCTCAAGTCACCCCAAAGCTTGAAGCCCTCTGAGTATCCATGGAATTTGCAAAGATATTTCAGGGATTAGCATATAGTTGAAGACAAACAGAAGGTGGACTTAGAATTTCCATTGCAAACCAAATATCTAAGGTCCAAGCTAACCCTATCCCTATATTGTGCTAGGTGGTATTTATGAAGGGTATGAGAAATGGAGTCTATAATCTCAGCTCTCAAGAAGACGACAGTGTTGCTGGGGAGACAAAACAAATATTGTCCATATAAAATGGATAATCCAAATGCTTAATTCAGGCAGTGATTGCTAAGGTGATCACAGATGAGAGAGACAGTAATTACAACAGGCAGGGAAAAAACCAAAGAGATCAAAGTTAAACTGCATTGGGAGTGTGGGAGGTAGAGAGGAGAGTGTTGGAATGCTTCTTCATAGACACTGCCTGATCAAAGGAGAAGCAGCAGGGCAGGGGAAGACTAGTTTAGCTGGAGCACTGACTGGGTAGGATGGAGCAGAGATATGAAGGGCCTGAAAAGCCATGATCATTTTTTAAACTTGATTCTGTCGGTTAGCATTTTCTGAAGTGTGTTGCACAGATCACTAGTCCATTGAGAATCTCCTTAAAAAGTGACACCATCATCAAATAAATTTGAGAAACACTGCATTCTCTAGAGTGCATATTTGCACATAGAAGTTCTGAGAAGGCCTCCCCCCGACCTCCAGTAAGAATCTGTTCCATTTTGCTTACTCCATTGTTTCCCGAACTCATTTGACTATGGAACCCTTAGCCACATAACACCAATCAACATCTCCCCACAGTTCTGGCTTTGGGAATACTGAACTACACAAAAGAACTCTATTCTCATTTAAGATCTTATTGATCTTTTAAAGGCCTTATGCTCCCAGCAAATGGGGTCACAGGATCTCTTTCTGCAGGCACACGTGTGCGCACACACACACACACACACACACACACACGGCTTTCCATGAAGCAATGGTGTAGAGAAAATTTCATCAGATTGAAAATCAAGAAGCTTGTGTTCTAGTTCCAGGTCTTCTTCGATTATGCAGTCTCAAGCAAGTTAACAATGGCTTTTTCAGCCTCCATTCATCCATCTCTACAGAGAACTCAGCTTCATGATACTTTTGAACTCTAATTGATCAGTGATAATATATCCCCTGTAACCAGCCAGCTGCACATATCTCTCTCACTCACATCCCCATCCCAGATACACTGGTCCTCCTGGTCCACACCGATAGAGACCGAACACACACCACTACCAGCTCCAGCAATCACTTACCAGCCTTTCTGTGCTCCAGATGTGACACTTAGAAAGGACACCAAATTTGCTCTTCTTTTCTCTCACTGTTCCAAAGAGCTAGTTTGCCTTTGTCCCCTGTAGCCTTCGACCCCTCCTTTACTCTCTGTCTCCTGCTGCCATTCCATGTCTGTGTCCCCGTGTGTGTGTGCATGCTGTATGGATGCATGTGAATGGGTGTGGGACAGGACCCTGGCTTGCATCTCTAGCTTACTTCCCTAATTCCTTAACTCCCAATCAAACAAGCTATGATCAGATTATAATACTCCAAGTACACTAAGGTAATGCTGGGAAATGTCCTTTATTCCAGGACATTAGAGTGGAATTAGTAGAAAGCACCTGTGTCTGGTTGTTCTGATCATTCTGTTATGTGCTGGGCACCAAAAAAACCAAACCCATTGCCACTGAGTGGATTCCGACTCAGCGACCCTACAGAACAAAGTAGAACTGCTCCATAGGGTTTCCAAGGCTATAATCTTTATGGAAGCAGACTGCCACATCTTTCTCCCACAGAGCAACTGGTGGGTTCAAACGAACCACTGACCTTTCAGTTAGCAGCCGAGCACTTAACCACTGTGCCACCAGGGCACAAGAGATATTAAAAGAAACTTGATACCACCTCCTTCTATTGATCTCCACAGAATTGTACTGTCGGTCTCTGGTTGAGTGAAGAATAGATAAACAGATACTAGGCTGATAAGCCCTGGTCAAAAGCGGTATCCTGAGGCCCAGAGTGAGCGAGGCTCTCGACTGAGCAGTTATTGGTCTGCTAGAGAAGGTGGGGTTGGAATGCTGGGCTTGGTCTTCTCTGTCCCCCTCAGAGGCACAGTTCCCCCATGAGAAAAGAGCCAAGAAGTTCCTGTAGCCTACAACAGCAGGCCAGAAGATTCTGCCCTTTCTGCCATCCCTAATTTCTAGGCGTCTCTTCTGTGAATCAAGAGAAGCCTTATAAAGAGAGGCTTAATTACAGCAAGTAAACCCCCTGCCTCCAGACCTCTCTCTCAGAAGTCCATACCTGTCTTCCCCCATACCCTGACATCTCTCTCTACCCTGATCTGCTTTCTTCTAGCTTCGAAGCTCCTTCAATAAAGCCTTCAGTATAAAAAAGGGACCCAAGTCAGCTTCCTCATACTCTGATATTGAGGAGATTGCCACACCTGACTCCTCGGCCCCCTCATCCCCTAAACTACAGCATGGTTCCACAGAGACTGCTTCACCCTCCATCAGGTCCTCCAACTCATCCTCTGTGGGCATTGATGTCACCGAGTAAGTGCTCTCCAATTCCTGCCCTCTATGCTGGTGCCAGTGTAAACTGCTGGCTAGTTGGCAGTAAGCCCATTAGACCCTGGATAAGCAATACCCCACTACAGACCCCTCCCTGGGCATATGAGACCCACAGATGGCTCTTTCGTCGTACTACTGATTGCATATCTATGGGCAGGGGGAACCAAGGCTACCAGTCACAGATCTCAGTATCACCTCGTACCTCTAGTGTTTCTCTGTGTAGCCTAGCTTGACTCTCACTTTCTTACAGGAGCCCTGCTAACTCGGTTCCCCACACTAGGATGTTCCATGCCAATGAGGAGGAGGAGCCAGAGAAGAAGGAAGTATCAGAGCTGCGTTCTGAACTATGGGAAAAAGAAATGAAGCTTACAGACATACGCTTAGAAGCCCTCAACTCTGCCCATCAACTGGACCAGCTTCGAGAGACCATGCACAACATGCAGGTTGGTATTTGGGCAGACAGCTGGCAGGAAAGGGAAGACCAGGGCTTATGATTTGCCCAGCCCTGCTACCCTACCCTGTCTGTTCTTGCCACAGTTGGAGGTGGACCTGCTGAAAGCAGAAAATGACCGGCTGAAGGTAGCCCCAGGCCCCTCATCAGGCTCCACTCCAGGGCAGGTCCCTGGATCATCCGCTTTATCATCCCCTCGCCGCTCCCTGGGCCTTGCACTCACCCATTCCTTCAGCCCAAGTCTCACAGACACAGGTAACTGTTTCGGAGAAGAACCTATAAGGGTGGAGAGAGGAAAAGGGCTCAGTTCACTGTTACAGTATTCCACTTGCTCTGTAGTATTTTCCTTGGGTCAAGGAGGTAACAACACCTAAACCAAGCAGTGCCAGTGTCATGAGAAAAGACTTGTTAGATCCTTCAACCTTAATTATTTTCAATTTTGTGCCTCCCTTTCTTTGTGGTAAATAAAGGCCTATTTTGAAAGAATAACAATAGTAAGGTTTAGGAAAGGCTGTTAGTGCTCCCAAAACCAATAGTCCTTCTCAACCTCCACAGACCTGTCACCCATGGATGGCATCAGTATCTGTGGTCCAAAGGAGGAAGTGACCCTCCGGGTGGTGGTGAGGATGCCCCCCCAGCACATCATCAAAGGGGTAAGGAACTTCAGGGAGGGTCCAGTTTAAGAACAAACATAACATTGTCTTTTTTATCCAAGAAAACTTGGGCTCTGAATACCCATAAAACCAGAGTACTCAACTTCTAAGGGTTTTTAAGATCTCCCTTTCTTGGAGTCATCTGCACTCGGGTTCATATGCTTCTACGCTGACTTTACAGGACTTAAAGCAACAGGAATTCTTCCTGGGATGTAGCAAGGTCAGTGGAAAAGTTGACTGGAAGATGCTGGATGATGCTGTTTTCCAAGTATTCAAGGTAAAGGGATATATTGTTTGTCCTCTTATGGGATATCCAGGCACTGGGATCTTGGGGACTTTGATGCTTTTTGGAGAAATGCTAAATAGGAAAGCATATGCTCTTCCCTTTCTCCATCTACTTCTGTTCTAATATTCGTTCTTTCTTGTGGCTTTTATATCTGTGTTTGTGTCTTCTCACTCAGTGTTCCTCACTATCTTCTTTTTCTCCCTTTCTCTTCTGCCAGGACTATATTTCCAAGATGGACCCAGCCTCTACCCTGGGACTAAGTACCGAGTCCATCCACGGCTACAGCATCAGCCATGTGAAACGAGTGTTGGATGCTGAGCCCCCAGAGATGCCTCCCTGCTGCCGAGGTGTCAATAACATATCAGTCTCCCTCAAAGGTCAGTCTTTGTCTCTTGGGTAAGGTGGTATGGGATGCAGGGGGGAGATCATCAAATAATTCATCATTCATTCATTCAACAAGAATTTATTGAGAAGCTATAATATAAAGGTCACTGTGCTTAAGTAATGTGAGATATAAAAAGCTGAATAAGACCTAGTCCTAACTTTTGTCCCCGGGGACATTTTTTGCCGGGTCTGGGCTTTTCCCTCTACCCATGCACCTTTGGTTCAGAGTGTGTCCTTAAAAATCAAATCTAAGTTTTCTAAAGTAGGGATTAGGGGATTCCTGTGGAACCATTGGGCAAGTGACTCTTGAGTTTTTTCAGTGGAATCCTAGATGAAGAAAAAAAGCCCTTCAGAATCCCTTGCTATCCTAGGACCCTCATCAAGACTCATGCTTTTTGGGGCTGGGGTTCAGGTCTGAAGGAGAAGTGCGTCGACAGCCTTGTGTTTGAGACGCTGATTCCCAAGCCAATGATGCAGCACTACATAAGCCTCCTGCTCAAGCACCGGCGCCTCGTCCTCTCAGGCCCCAGTGGCACAGGCAAGACCTACCTGACCAATCGATTGGCTGAGTACCTAGTGGAGCGCTCGGGCCGCGAGGTCACTGAGGGCATCGTCAGCACCTTCAACATGCACCAGCAGTCTTGTAAGGTAGCTGACTCCTGAGACCCGTGCCAGTCTTTGTTCAGGCCTCAGCCTCCCACGAGGCTTCTCCCAGGCCCTGCCTTATTCTTTCCCCTCCTCAGTGTTCTCCTTCCCTCCACTCCCTACTTCCTCTTTTCCAGTTTTCACCCTCCCCTGCCCCCAATTTCTTTCCAGACTTTTGCCCTTCATTACTTTCACAACATTTTCCCTGTAGTTAATAGCTGATTAAACTACATCATCCTCATTTCTACCTCACTCTTGGCCAACCCTGTCAATCCAATCCCTTCTCTTTTATTTTCTTCCCTCTACCCTTCTTTTCAGTATACTTTCTGACCTTGGGCCTTCATGGAAGAAGCTCTCAGAATTAAATGTTACATGCTGTGCTCTCCCCTGCCAAATCCTGACAACTCTTGAGCAGACCCAAATACTTTGGAGTTGGCTCAAGTCTTGGCTCTCCTCAGCTGTAGGAAAGTGCTTCCATTAATGGTAGTTCATGGTGCCAACCCAGTGAAAATCTGTTTAGGAAATAGCATGTGTTTCCCACTTTGGAGGATTTAGGGGCCACTGTTGAAGAGGGTTGCTTTAGAACCTTTCAGACCACTGTTTATCAGCCTGTGGTGATCGGTTCTACAGTCAAATGTCCAAGTGCACCAAACATGAACCAAAGGCCCCAGGGAAGTCCAGAACTAGCAGAGCTACTCCAAAATACTTCTTACCAAAGCTGATCCAAGTGCTCATTACTCCTGAGTGCTGACCTACTATCCTTTTATTCCAGGATCTGCAACTCTATCTCTCTAACCTGGCCAACCAGATAGACCGGGAAACAGGAATTGGGGATGTACCCCTGGTGATCCTGTTGGATGACCTAAGTGAAGCAGGCTCCATCAGTGAGCTGGTCAATGGTGCCCTTACCTGCAAGTATCACAAATGGTGAGATGGGATCAGGAACAAACTCATGACAATGGGAGGAGGAAAAACCCAGTACAGTCCAATCTATGAGCTTTCCATTGTGTGGACATACAGAAAGCAAGTGGTAAGGCAAGTCTAAGTGAATCTTTTCTCCCTTTCTTTCCATAGTCCCTATATTATAGGTACCACCAATCAGCCTGTAAAAATGACACCCAACCATGGCTTGCACTTGAGCTTCAGGTAAGGACTCTGACCACGGATGGGCCTTCCTACTCTACCCAATAGTTTATAAACTACTTAAACACAGGGCTTTGGCCAGAGGGGCAGTAGATAACAGAGGGAAAAAGAACTAGCCAGAGCCTTCTAGACTGGGAAGAGAAAGTAGATGTATCTGCCATTCAGTGAAAGGGTGGAGAGGACCCTTGAATTAGGGGAACTAGACGACAACCAGCTAGGCTGCTGTAATTCAGATTCTCTGCCCTCACACCACCTGATCCAGGTCAGTGAGGTCAGATGGTTATCTCAAGACAATCACTGATTTGAGAGTCAGCTCTGCCTGCCCAGGGCTGCTGCCCTGAGATCAGTTGCCCCCCACTATTACCTGAGAAGAAACCAAGTGGGCTTTAGTGGGAGGCAGGCAGGAGGAGGGATAGACTGGCAGGGGATGAACCCTGACAGTACCCCCATACCACTCTGACCACACTCTCCCATCCCTGGCGGCAGGATGCTGACCTTCTCCAACAACGTGGAGCCAGCCAATGGCTTCCTGGTCCGTTACCTGAGGAGGAAGCTGGTAGAGTCAGACAGCGACATCAATGCCAACAAGGAAGAGCTGCTTCGGGTGCTCGACTGGGTACCCAAGCTGTGGTATCATCTCCACACCTTCCTTGAGAAGCACAGCACCTCAGACTTCCTCATCGGTACTGGGGTTCAGCTTCCCCCTTGGGGTCAGGAGGTGGCTTCCCTTTTCTACTTTACCACCCGGAGGGATGCTCCCTTTTCTTTCTGGAGTCTTCAGCATGTAAAGGAATTGCAAACCTTACAGCTTTAGACTTAGAACCACTTAATTACTTAACAAGCATTCCCAACACACTTAGCACCGTGATTTTGGTAAATCACTTCAACCTTCAGAAAGCCAGCCCCTCTCCCTCATTTTTTCCCATAATTAATGGAAAAAAAGGAGGGAAAGTATTTAGGAGGAAACTGAAACATCCTCCTCCTCCTCTCCCTTGTCTCACTTCCATCTTGTGAGGGCATTACTTATGAGATTGTCAGCCAGGCAGTCAGCACCCACCTGCCTTGAGAACAGTCTTGGTATAGCCCAACTCTAAATTAATTTCCTTTAACCCTTTGGATCAGACCCCTCTGCCTGGTAAAACCTGTTGCTGTCAAGTCGATTCTGACTCAAAGTGAGGAGTAAAAGAGGCAGACAAATGAGGAGAGGTAGGTTCTCAGCCATCTTCATGGTTTCATCATTTTCCCTAGGCCCCTGCTTCTTTCTGTCCTGTCCCATTGGCATTGAGGACTTCCGGACTTGGTTCATTGACCTGTGGAACAACTCTATCATTCCCTACCTACAGGAAGGAGCCAAGGATGGGATCAAGGTGAGCCCTACCCTTTGCCTCCACTCAAACCTCAAGATCAGGCTGTCCTACCTGCCAAAGTAGAAACATGTCTTTAATGTTTGACATGGAGCTGCTAGGGATTAGTAAGGTACTCTTTCTAACAGGCAGAGTAAGGCACTAGGTAGATGAAGCTACTTTCCTGCTTTCAGCAACCATTCGACAAATGGCTAAATGATCACTGCCTATGAGGCCATCTCTCCAGTCCTAGGTCTTCTGGCTCTAAGCCAAATACAGACCACTCTCTAGGGGTCAGAGCACATAGAAAAAATGTGTTAAGAATTAAATAAAACCCTATTACAGCCTTAGCTCACTTTGTTGTTGCTGAATGCCACTGAGTCGATTCTGACTCATAGCGACCCTGCGTGACAGAGTAGAACTGCCCCATAGGGTTTTCTTGGCTGTAATCTTTACGGAAGCAGATTGCCTGGTCTTTCTCCCTCGGAGCCACTGGGTGGATTCAAACCACCAACCTTTCAGTTAGCAGCTGAGCACTTAACTGCTGCACCACCAGGGCCCCTTAACTATTAATAAATGTTACTTTGGCCAAGTTACTCAACATTTGTTAACTCCCTCATATGTAAAAAGGGGTAATAAATTCTGCCCTACCTAAATCACTGGGTTGTTTTGAAGATAAAATGAAAGATTTTTTTAAAAGTTAGAATAAAAACTTTGTGTAAAAGGAAGATGTCATTTTTTTAAAACCTCTTTAGTCTTCTCACTGTAAATTAGGGAGTAATGATCACTAAGTTCCATTCTAGCACTAAGAAACTATGATGCAAGGACTGGATCCTATTGGTCACGGATTATCCATAAAAGTAATTTATTACGGTGATAGACATCTCCTGATGATATGGTAAATATCTAGAGATGCTGTGTATTAGACTGGTATCAAAAGTCATTATTGCATTTATAAATTTGTGGTATTTTAAGAAAATTTACATGATAAATAGAATTCCAATTTAAAACCATTTTACATAGATAACATCTTTTCAAGAAAACAAATATAAAAAGGTATTATGACTAAAATGGAAGAATTTCCTACTTGAAAGGTAAAATTGCAGAGTATTAGGATTTGCCTATATTAAGTTTTAATACAGTCTGCCAAATTATCCTCCAAAATGGTTTTACCGATTTATTATTTGCATTGTTGGGAAACTAAGGAAAATTCCATGAGGATTAGAGCCTCAAGGCTTTACATTTGGGGAAGTGCACATTCCCAAGGAGCATACTTTTTTTGTGGGAAATCAGAAACTGCATGGACAAGCCTCTGATGTGTGGATTCCCCTCTTAGCAATCGCATTTCTCCTTCTCTCCAGGTCCATGGACAGAAAGCTGCTTGGGAGGACCCAGTGGAGTGGGTCCGGGACACTCTTCCCTGGCCATCAGCCCAACAAGACCAGTCAAAGCTGTACCACCTGCCGCCACCCACCGTGGGCCCTCACAGCATTGCCTCACCTCCCGAGGACAGGACAGTCAAAGACAGCACCCCAAGTTCTCTGGACTCAGACCCCCTGGTAAGTAGAAGCCATTCTAAGGTTAAAGTAAGAGCATTGTAAGACTGAACTCTTCATACTCCATGCATATGCTGATGGGGGCCCAGAAGCTGAAGAATACAGCAGGGCTGGGAGTATGATGAGGCAGAGAGGTGCTCTGAATATCAGAATTTTAGGTCATGAAGAGCATATGCTGGGACAGACGCTTAAGCTAAATAATAATGCACCTGAGCAAGATGTGTTCTAGCAAAGAATAGGAATATCAACCAAAGAAGCAGAGCAGTAGGACACATTAGCATTCTCTCTTACTTCTTCCTCAACTCTGATATTTATCCTGAAATCTGACTCCTGAAGACTACTTCAGCTAAATGGATTTCATGGAACCCCTGTAGAAAAAAAGGCTGAGATGAGTGACAAACGGGGGGAAAATATTTGCAATGCATATAACCAAAAGAGGATTGATACCTAGAATATGTAAAGCTTCCAAAAACTCAACAGAAGAATAGACAAAGGACATGAACAGGCGTTTGACTAGAGGAAATAGAAAATGACCAATAAAAACATAAAGATTGAGGAAATGAAAAATAAAACAAGGAGATCCCTTTCACATTGTCAGAAATAGTATGTGTGGAGGCGTGTACTTTCATACTCTGCTGATGGGAGTGTAAATTGGTAAAACCATTTTGGAGGATAATTTGGCAGATTGTATTAAAACTCATGCACAAATCCTAATACCCTGTCATTTTACCTTTCAAGTAGGACATTCTTCCAATTTAGTCATAATACTGTTTTTTTAATTTTGACTTTCTTAAAAACATATTACCTATGTAAAAAGCTTTTAACTTGAAAGGATATTAATAATCATGTAAATAGAAAGGTGGAGGACAGATTCAGTACAGAATCATCCAGACTTACCTAGCTGAATGGTAGGGTCCCAATCTTGAAGTGGAGCACTGGTTGCTCTGTGGTTAAGAGCTCGGCTGCTAACTGAAAGGTCAGCAGTTCAAATCCACCAGCCACTCCTTCGAAACCCTATAGGGCAAGTCTACTCTGTCCTGTAGGGTCGCTCTGAGGCAGAATTGACTGGACGGCAGGTTTTTTTTTTTTTTTAATGTTGAAGTATCAAGGGAAAAATAGGTAAGGAGGCAAGGAAGTGAATACACTGAGGAGTTTAGACTTGCTATGAAGCAGTAGGTCTTGTGAGCTGGGGAGAAACAAGTTCAAAATAACTGAGTCTAGCTGTTGGGTTATAACGCATTAAAAACCCATTGCCGTCTAGTCGATTCTGACTCGTAGCAACCCTACAGGACAGAGGAGAACTGTCCCAGAGGGTTTCCAAGGCTGTAAATCTTTACAGAAGCAGACTGCCACATCTTTATCCTGCAGAGCAGCTGGTGAATTCAAACCGCTGACCTCTGGTAAGCAGCCGAACTGCTTTAACCACTGCACCACCAGGGTTCCTTATAATGCATTAGAAGGGAAAATTCTTCGAGATGTTTCTATGGCATTACTCACATTCCTCCCAGTATCAGCTGGTATGTATGTGCCTTTGTCCTCTCCTGGAGTGCAAGCACCTTGAAGGCAGAGGTTGTCTTGTTCTTTTTGGTATTCCTCCACGTTTTAGCATGGCACCTGGTATAGTGGAGATGCTCTCAAGTATCTGTTGTGCATGCACAGGTTTACGACAGGGTTGAAGCAATCGTTGCTGCTTTTTCATGAACCACCTCTAAACTCTCTGGGCTCTTAATCACTTACAAACCAAGGATCAGATGACGATCTAGATTTTTTTTTTCCCTCCTCTGGGTGGGGAAACCCTGGTGGCATAGTGGTTAAGAGCTATGGCTGCTAACCAAAAGGTTGGCAGTTCGAATCCACCAAGCGCTCCTTGGAAACCAACCATATGGGGGCAGTTCTACTCTGTCCTATAGGGTCACTATGAGTCAGAATCCGCTCGACAGCAACAGGTTTCTGTGGGTAGGGCCAAGTCCCAACTCTCATTAATCCATCTTTTCCCCCTCTTTAGATGGCCATGTTGCTGAAACTCCAAGAAGCTGCCAACTACATTGAATCTCCAGATCGAGAAACCATCCTGGACCCCAACCTCCAGGCAACGCTCTGAGGGGCCAGCAATCACTGTCACCCCGGACAGCAGAATGGGCTGGCCTCAGCTACGTTAACTCCTCCTCTCCCCCCTCTTCTTTCAGAGCACTGGCTCTCCAGCCCCAAGAGGAGAGCTGGAGGGAGGAGGAGGTATAAGAAGAGGGACAGGTTCTTGGTGCTGCACCTTTGAGAACTTCCTAGTAAGGATTGGTGGGGTGGCGTTTTGGGAACTTTCATCCCCTGGATACATTTATTGGCCTGCTCTCATGACTTTGGGGAAAAGATGATTCTGGGTCTTTCTCCTTGATTTCCTGTCTCAATTACAAACTCCTGGGGCTTTCTGGAGAGGTGTGCAGAAGACTAAAAAAACCTGCAGCAACTCCTCAGCGATTCTCATGAACAACTGTGAGAGAGACAGGCCTGTGTGGAGAAATCTGAGGGAGGCAGAAAGCTCCCCATATTTTCTCACAGACCCTTCCCAATTCCGTCACCACTGCCAAAACTCTTTCCCCAGAGATCTGGCTGGAGCCCAGAAAAAGAAGCATGTGGTTTAAATAATGTTTAAATCAATCTGTAAAAGGTTTAAAAATAAAAAAAGATGAAGCTGGAGAGAGGAACCAGTTGCCAAGGTAGAGAGAGAGCTGCCTGCTCCTGCCCTCTGGATGACATAGGGGACATTGACAAGATGGCTGCCAATCTAAGACGTCACCAAACCACAAAAATAACATTACAGCCTTTAGAGAAAGACTGTTAGCTCTGTCTTTATACCCTCTAATTTAACATGCATGAGAGAGTCAATAAACCCTACTTTTTTTATTTTTTTATTTTTTTTTTTCCTCTCATTTGCCTATTTATTTTCCTTTTTTGGTTTGTTTTTTCCATTTCCTCCCATGTCTATGAGATGCTTGGATTGCTTTTCCAGGGGCTGGACTGACTATTCCAAGTGGGTTTTCTTCGGAGAATTGGATACCATCTAATTGGCACCAGCTAGTCATCTACCATGCAACTATCTTTGGCATCCTTGGGGCTTATATGAGACAGGAAGCATTGGCTCAGATGTAGTGGGAGAAGAGGAACCCAGTTCCCTTGACTTCCCTTTTAAGAAAGCATACATTCTGCCTGGAAGTTCAACTGCCACCCTCTGGCATGAGAGGGGATAGTTCCATCTTGATAGAAGATCTACTGTGAGTTTCACCATGGACTGGAGGAAACCAGGAAACTGAAAATACGCCTCCATCTTGTGGATTATTTGGCCCCTTGCTGCACTAGTCTCATGGCAGCCACTCTGCCTGACTGAATCCAAATTGTTTGGCCCTTACTGTTTGTCTTTGACAAGTGAATATAAGAGAGTGGACATCCATGTGAGATACTCCCAATCAGAATATAAGGCTCAAATTGTTTAACTGAGTGGCGAATATCTGCCTTCCAAAGGGATCCCACCTTCTGCAGAAGCTGCCCCTTTCCTATTGTCCTGAAGGTCTGCAGAATGTATTCCTTCATTCAACAAGCACTTACTGAGTAGTTACTATGTACCGGTCACTAGATTAAAAAAGAAAAGAAAAAGATAAAACTTGGGCCCATGAGTTCACATTCTATTGGGAAATGTTAATCTCCATTAGGTGCACACTCCCTTCTGATCTAGACCATCAGGATCATCCAAGAAAATGTGGCTGAAACCCAAGGAGCCAACTAGAAAGAAGCCTTTGATTAGATGTCCAATACACTGGGGGCAGAAGACCTGGGAGCAACTGAGAATGGAGCCTAAAGGACTGTGGAATCTTGCCTGTCTGGAGTGAGCACTTCCTGCCATTTCTGAAAGTCCCTGTACGACCAGTTTGCTGGCTGAGCTGTCTGTTGAGGCTGAAGTTTCAGGGCTCTGCAGATCAGGGATATATGGTGACCTTGGGCCTAAGTGTTTGCTCTTCAGATTCCTAAGTAGCACAAGACTTAATCAGAATCTATAGGCATACTAACCTGGATTACTTTGTCCCACCTAATCTACAAGTAGATGCATCTGAATCTTCATGTCAGAATATTTTCATTTAGGTCCACAAGATGGCCCAGATAGCTAGCCCCCAAGAAATCTTCTGTATTCAGCTGGTAGCTCCCAGAGATGACAGGGTCCTCCATGCTGGAGACTATTATTGCTATTGCTGCTAATTCCATGAGCTGTGAAGACCCCCAACCAACTCAGCTGTAAAATATGCAATTCTATGGTGGGAAGAGGCTCTTTGTCCAAGGATGGTGCTGAAATCACTGCCTTAAGGTCTCCGCTATGCAGAATGAGGAGGCCCCAGAGCTGGGTGTTCTAACGTAGAAGGAAGGGAATACTGGATGGGCCTTCTTTGGACCTCTGTCTCTTCTGAACCCTATCCTAAGCTCCAGTCCTGTGGTAAAGCTCAGACTTTTAATGCCATCTTAATCTGATGGTTGAGCCCTTAACTATTTTCTGGTGCTGCCCAGCCAGTGCCTTCTGATATGGATGTTACTGGCTACTTGAGAAAAAGGAGAGGGGAGCCTCCCTTCTTCTATTCCAACTGCCTCAGACCCCTGCAAAGGAATTCTTGTTTCTTGTAATCATGGATACCACCGTGAATTTTATTTGGATCCTCAGCAGGTTGACTCTGGAGGTCTCTCATGCTGTGACTTTTCATTTCTTTTCCTGGGATCCACCACCCTCTGCTCTCAGTTGACTGCTGCATTTAGCCCAGGTCTCCAATTGCTTTCCTCCAGAAAGTGTGTTCACATCTAGTGAGGTGGTGTTGCAGCCACAGTTTTCTCTCTGGAGACTGGCATCCTGTTTACAGTTGCACACCTGGGCCCCTCACTGTGGGGATCCATCTTCTCATAAAGGAATCCTGGTTATGTGGCAACTGCAGAAGCTTGAGCCTCCTCATGGTGCTATAACCCCTTGGGACGCTCATCCAGACTTCTCTGAAGCAGAAAACCTGAATTTCCCGCTCACTGCCCTAGAATTAATGGCAAAAGCAAATCCACAGCATTCTCTCCTACCTACGCTTCTTGATTGAGACTACTGGGATCCTTCAAAAAAGAAAAACTGGGTCCTATAGCTAATCTCAACCCTCAGATAACCTTCAGAAGATTCTAGCCTAAGACTGGAATTCATGCTATACCCTTCCTCTCCAGCCCCCCAACTCTATCCCTCACCAAAGCTGGCTAGCAAATGACATGGTTCAATACCCAGCATCAACCTATGGGGAGAGCCACAACTCCAGGAGAGGCTGCTCAGCAGAGTCCCTCTCATTTCTGGATAAAGAAGACCAAGTTTTGTCCAATGTATTTGTTTTTCAGTCCCTGCCTAAGCACTAAAAATAAAATACTAGGTAATTGGAGGCTAATATGGGACCTGGTGTGTGTATGCCTATGTCTCTCCTCTTCTCTCTCTGTCTCTTTCTCTTCCTCTCTCTTGCGTTTGCTGTTTCCTATCTTCTGAGGCTTCACTGAGTAATTTTTTTTAAATCTGTGCTGTACGGTGCTTATCTCTGTCTTTATGTAAACTCTTACACTAATGTCTTTTTCATGTAGTCTAACCATTGGGAAGCTAGAGGCTGGCAGGGAAGAAGAATTTGCTAAAAGTCCATGGGGAGACCTTAAAATGAAGTCCTTATTGGTTGCTATGCTAGGTTTTGGTCTTGAACTACCAACCTTTCCACCAATCAATCCATATTCCTTAAGGACTTAAGACAAAATAGTGACTTTTTTCCTTTTTTGCTTCTTGCTTTCTGGTTTTCCTGGCTTGCAAGACTCAAGTGGACCTAATCTCTCTATCTCTTTACTTCTAGCTGCCTGAGACAAAGGAATACCCCTTTTCAGTGGTCTAAGAGACAACTCTATTTCCTATAGTATTCCAAAAGAGTAGGAAGAGAGAAGTGGTAGCCTGCTGTTTCTCAAAAACACCTCATGCCAACACCTGAGAAGGCACTCATATACAGAAACCTGGCATATAGGTGAAATTTGCCTGCAAACAAGAGAAAAAAGAGTGAGGCCCAGTCCTGAAAACTGGGATCAGGGAGATAGCTACATGAGACCTTAAGGAGTCTTTATTGCAAAGTGTTTGGGAGGGGAAGTTGTCCTAATCACACATTTAACACAGGGTTCAAGTGTTGAGGTAGCCTGGATCACCAAATGTAGCTCCTCATCCTGCTTCATTTTTTTCTTTCCGTAGTGGATATTAGATAAGCTGTAGCTAATCAGCCAACTCCAGGGATGGGATGAAATGTGCTTCTGCAGAGGGTTTATTAATGGCAACAGATATACTAATGAAATACTGGTATGCTCATGATGACGGTCATAACTGATTCACGGCCCAACTGACAATGCCATAAGTAATAAAATGATCTTAGAGACACTCTGTTCCCAAAGGCTGCTCTTTATAATCCAATCAGCCTTATATTCATGAGCCGTTAATCAACCTGACCAGCAGGGATACACAGGGCCACCAACCTGGCTGTCGCCTCTGCCAGGGTGCCCGTGTGCACATCTGCTCAGCCACGCCCTGGAAGCAAGCACTGCCGGCCACAGACCCTGGGAAAGGTGGAAGTAAACTGGAAGGTGGTATAGTCCTAAAGTGAAACAATCAAAATTTGGAGGCTGCTGGGAGACCAAGACAATTGAAAACTAAACCTAGGTCCTCTCAGCTTGATGTTTTGACCATCATTCTTAATGACTGTGCCATGGAGAATTTTCCATGGCAAGGGTGGTCGTGGAGGTAAGTGAACCACTAGTTCCTTGACTCAACCCTTTTCATTACTTAAAGCAGTGGTTCTCAAAGTGTGGTCCCAAATCAGCAGCATCAGCATCATCTGGGAACATGTTAAAAATAAAATTCTCAGGCCCCATCCCAGACCTACAGAAACAGAAACTCTGGGAATAGGACCAAGGAATCCGTGTTTTAACAAACCTTCCCAGTGATTCTGACGCACACTAAAGATTGAGATTCACTGTTTTAAAGGGAAAGCCACCTATCAGAGTCCCCACACTGAGGGGCTTTAAGACTGAAAATAAGAAGGTCCTAGGTGACAATTCAGACTTCATAATTAATTTCAAAGTCACCTTTTTCATGCTTATGTTTGTTTTTCATTTTATTTTAACAAAGAAAAAACAGGTGTGCTTTGGGGCAGAAGTTAGGAGAGTACATCTTTCCTAGTTGAACACAACGGTCAGTGAAAAATCTCACAGTTCTGAAATGTCTACCTGGCAAACTAAAGGGCTTCAACAGAGAAAAGCAGTCGGACGTCTCTTCCAGATTGCTCTTCTGCTGGATTATATGTGTCTATATCTGAATCTTTTTCTGATTATGTAATAGGATGGAAGAAGTTTAAAAAAAAAAAAAATCTAATCTGTATTTCCATGACAACTTGTTCTCCCAGAATCATAGCAACATCTCTCTCCTTTATTTGAGCTATAAAAGGCACTACTGGGTCTGAGAACCTGACCAGAACCTCCTTCCCCAAGGCAGCTAACAGTAGTGCTTCAGGATCCCAGGAAGGCTCTGCTCAGCTCACAGGCGAGTTCAGCATGGTGAAGACCAGTACTAGGCACCTCAGTCCTTGGGCTCATCCCTTCCCCACACCAGGACCTGGATACAGAACTACTCAGTCAAGGGGAGACAACAGGATGCTTTTGGAAAAAATATGACAGAAGCTTCCTATCTCTCTAAACTTACAGATTCTAGCTGATGGGGCAGGGGGGAGAATGGGCTGTTCAGAACTGGTTTTGTTTCAAGTTTTCAAATTTTTCCTAGGAGAAACCTTTTGTGTAGAGGACAGAGAAACACCCTAGTATTAGTCCTTCTGAGCTCCAGAACTAAGCATTTGGAGGAAGGACTACAGCCTGAGGAAGGCAAGTGTAAAACAAATGCAGTAAATCACCCCTTCAGTCCCCAGAAGGTTGATGGCGGGTCCTTTCGTTATTTTCTCCTGTAGGAGTTTCCTGCTTTCCTGCCATTTCTCTGAGACTGAAGATGTATAATAAAACAGGAACTCCCACATCCCAGCCAGTCTCTAGGCTACTGCTGTGCAGTGGCCTCTCACTTCCTAATGTTGGTGCGTTTTGTTTTGTTTTGAACATAACTATCTTTTTTTAATGAATTCCAACCCCTGCTAGATTGCTTTCCTCCACCCCCCTCCCCATCCTGTTTTAGGCAGCACTGTTTCCATGATGGAGTCTGTGTTTCTCAAATGTATGGTGTTCCTCAGGTGGAGGGGGGTCGGGATTTCTGCAACACTTTTTTTAATTTATTGGGTGCAAAACCCCAAACCAGGATACGTGTGTGTCTTTGTGTTTGTTTTCTCTCATTTGACCATCCTCTCTTTCAACCTGTGCCCTTTTATATATAATGTAGAGAAAGCAAAGCTGAATCTGGAGAGCAAATCATTGTAAATAGTTGCGGTAACAATCATGAAGAGCTGGGCCTTCCCCTCAGTAATTCATTTTAAATAAATTGGTTGAAATTAAATCCATGCCAGGGTCGGTTGAAGAGGCCTTCCTCCATCACCACCAGAGGCCCTCTGTCCATCAGGCATGTCTCCTCCCAGCAAGATTCATCTGTTGGATTCCATTTGCGTTTCAATAAAGTTATTTCCTGTATTGTCCACTGGTTTTCTCTAGCTCCCTCTCTGCCTGGTTTCTGTCTCCATTTATCTTGTGGCCCATTCCTTGAACCAGAAAGTTTGAGACTGTGGTCATTTACCTAACCCAGAAGTAAAACCCACCTGCCTGGAAATGGTTGAGGGAAGCAGGGGGAGGGGTCCCTGTCTGTACATTGTGGACATAGTATAGTGTACCTCACCAGAACTCGAAAGGTTCAGCCCAAAAGTCAGGGTTCCCAAGTCCTCTATCCACTGCCACAATGGCTGAAAACATACTACCCCCTAGACTTTCCTCAATTTTCTTCTTGGGGTAAACAAATTAACCTATAAGAAGCTGTTCTAATGGAGTTCAGCTTCTCCTGGCCACTAAAAGAAGGGAAATAAGAAGTCCTACTATTCCCCACTGTGGAAATGAAGGGACCAAAAAGCAATCTTTTTCCTGTGAGATTGTGGTAAAACACCCATCTCTGCCCTCAAACACGGGAGGTGTGTTTAGAACTTTACTGAAGATTAATTGAGGAATCATTCTTTTGAAAGAATCCTCAGATAAGGATTGTTAACAGTTTGGCATCTACACAGAATTACGGACTGGTTTCTTTTGCTACTTGGGAATGAGTCATGGTTCCTAGAAACCATTTCTAAGGCACTCAACCTGAAGAGCTTACTAAGAAATACCTGTTCCTCTCTGCTCTAGAATTTTCCACACCAACCATCTATGCCATTCCATTCCTTCTACCAATAGATGCTTGCCACTGTGCCCTGCATTTTAACCCTTCTCATGAATCCTCTCCACCTGCTCCAGTATTTAGGAATGTTGCTATACCTTTGGGCCATTTCCTATGGCCAGCCCCCAGATAACCATATAATCTATTCTTGTCTCCCTCACCCCTCTTAAATGTCCAGCCATAATTTCTCTGGGGAAAAAAAAAAAAAACACTCAGCTAATAAGATTCATTCTCTAATAGCCGTATAAATACTCGAGGAAATAGCCTTGCGCAGGTGCTTCCTCCTGGCCAGCACACTTTCCAATTTTGAGATTGGCCTAATGTAGGCCGGAAAAACAAGGACTGGGCTTTTCTAGGAGCCTTAGTGGTGCAGTGGTTAAGGGCTCGGCTGCTAACCAAAAGTTCCATAGTTCCAATCCACCAGCCGCTCCTTGGAAACCCTCTGGGGGCAGTTCTACTCTGTTCTATAGGGTCACTATGAGTTGGAACAGACTTGACAGCAAGGGGTTTGGTTCTTTGGTTTGGGGCCTTTCTAAGGTGGCAAGCCTCCACTGCCCAGTCGGCTTTAGTTTCTTTTCTTCCTAACCTTTGGGTTCCTAAGGCAAAGAGATGAAGATTCAACGTTTTTTCAGTGTCTGGGGAAAGAAGAGTTTGGTTTAAAATAGGACCTATTTCTGACCCAGACCCCTCTCGTTAAAGCTCTCTCCATCAATCCCCACCCTACCGCCTCTATCCATGAATCTAAAGTCAGATATTGTGGTGGTCAGATAACACTGTATCCCAAGTGAGGTTGCTAACTTACCAGGCGATTTTAGGTAAGCCCCCTAACCTCTCCGGGACTCAGTTTCCACACAAATCTTAAAAGTGATGCTTTCGGAGAAAGGTGCAGTTTCCGCTCCGGCGGCAGGAGGAGCTGTCTCCGGAGGCCTGTGCCCATTCCCCGCCTCCTTCCCGCTCCCGCCTGACTCTGGTGCGCAGGCGCGGCTTCGCAGATTGGCCGCGCGCAGGAGCCGTCATTCGGTGGCGGGTCCCGACGGCGGGGCTGGCGGGCTGAAGGGAGGGAAGATGGCGGCAGCAGCGGCGGCTGGTGCGGCCTCAGGGCTGCCGGGTCCAGTGGCACAAGGATTGAAGGAGGCGTTGGTAGACACGCTCACTGGGATCCTGTCCCCAGTGCAGGAGGTGCGGGCGGCTGCGGAGGAACAGATTAAGGTGCTGGAGGTGACAGAGGGTGAGTGAGGCGGGACCGGAATGAGGATGGCTCGGACCTGGGCCGGCCCTACGATCCGTTGACCGCAGCTCAGGGCCGCCTGGGGTCATGGGGAGCCTGAGCCAGTGGGTATTTGGGCGCCGAGGCCCAGCGGGCAGGAGTGGGGCAGGAAGCGAGGGGTTAATATCTCCGGTGGCTGTGAAAGTCCTAGAGAGGAGAGGAAAGGCGCGCCTGTAGGAGAGGGTCGGGGGAGGTGGAGCCTCACGGGGGAGGGTTTGGGTGGAGACTTGAAAAGATAGATGGAGCCCGGGATCTGCAGAGGACTGAGATGGATGGAGCTGGACTTGATGCTGTTGGAGGAAGTCGCGCGGTCTGGGAAATATTTTTGAGTTTAGGACCAGGGTCTTTTGCTTTTCCCTTCACCATTTCAGTTGTACTAGGATAAGAGTAGGGGGAGCTTGTAGTAGAAGTGGTAAGAGGGTATGGCCTTGAGAAGGCGGCTATCCGCTTAGTAGATATCCTCAAACAAGTTTCTGCCTCTGAGTTATAAATCTAGCTAGTGTTTATCCTCTTCATGTTTTCCCAGAAATTAAATTAAATGCATATGTAGCTGCTTCATCTTCCTGACCGTGCTCTCCGTTTATGTTGAAAATAATTTGCACTTATTAAATACCTCTGTGTGCATGCTTGTTTGGAGGAACTGATCATCCCTTTGTCTTTGCTTCTCTGTCCCCATCCTCCTATTATATGCCTTAACGTGATGAAGAAGAAAATAAACTATTGGTTTCAGGTTTTCTATCAATTTCCTGTTGAGTGGGCCTTTGATCATCCTTTGTCTTTGCTTCTCTGTCCCCATTCTCCTATTAATATGCTTTAAAGTGATGGAGAAGAAAATAAACTATTGGTTTCAGATTTTCTATCAATTTTCTGCCAAGTGGGCCTTTCACCAGGCCCAGTGTAGCCACTTTACAAAGAAAATATGATCCTGAAACTTGAGAGAAAATCTTCTTGATGTTTATGTAAAGAATATATCTCATCTGTCAGGGCTTCACTGGAACGCCAAATCCTCAGAATCCCCCAGCTGAAAGTAATGTTTCCACCACTTCTTAAAGACCTCTCCTGAGATATGGGGAGTTGTCCATGGGCAGATCAGTCACACTCAAAACCTTGAGTTGGCTTTCCTACTGGTTTTATGATTCTTTTGAAAAGAATTTAAGACAGTTCTCCCTTTAATTTAATTTTATATTCCCTCATGAGATAAGAGAGCTGTTGGAAACGAATTTCCCTCTATTTGAAACACATTGAGATTTGGGCTCTAACAGGCTAAGGACCATTTTGAATTCTAAGAGTCATTGTTCTATAAAATGTCAAACCCTACTGGAGGAGGAGCTATTGGGTAGGAGAAAGTTGTCTGGGAGCCATGCATAGATTGATCTAAAGGAGTTTTTATAGCCTCTAGGTAAAATTCCTTTGTTCACATTAACATCTCTGCCTCCCCTTGACATGAAGGAGAAAAAGTGACAAAGCAAAGGAGCCTAATCACATTCAAGTTACTATTTGAATAAAGCTGAGGGCTTGTTATAAATTGGTCCTAACTAAACCTTCCCTAAATGATCCCTAATCTTCCTGGTGCCCTGAATGTATGTCTGATACCTTCCTGAGAAAGGTGGACCATGGCTCATGTTTAAGCTGTCCAGCAACAACTCCGCTTCAGCTCTGATTCCTTCGACTTAGTCAAATACTTTAGTCTCAGTTGGACAAAGTCAATTACAGACTTCTTAAGATCATTTCAAAGTTCTAGTCTCTCACTT